AAGGTGGCGATAATTCCTCTCTTGATTTGTGGTGGATGGGTTAGAGGAATTGTGCAGATACTGATCCGTATGGGTTGGTTTACGGTAGACACTGGTGTGGAGTTTGTTATCGGAGTCTTTCTGCACTCTTACATCTAGGAATGGTAGTTGTCTGTCAGCTTCTTCTTCCATAGTGAACTGCATCCTGGGGTGTTGGGCATTCAGGTGGTTGAGGAGGGTCTTGGGGTCATGGTCAGGTTTGAGAATGACAAAGGTGTCGTCACTTGCTTGATAAAGGTGTTAGGATCTACACCGAAACGTCACACTAATCGTAATAAAGAAGTTGTTCATCCATAGAACTCGTCTTACTGCTTAGGGATACCAAAGGAAACAGTTTATCATATTAGAGGAAATTAGTTGTGGATACTTATACCATATAGATAGGATATCTTTAGGATTTTAATCCTTTCTCTCTGGGTTATCTTTTCACACTGATGAAAGAAAGTCACTCAACCAGTTCATGCATGTGTAGTCGACCGGGGGTTATTGTGGGTAAATATATATATTTAAGAACGTAGTGGGTGGGTTAGTTTAAGGGTGAGTTGAACGGCTGACGTAGTACCTATCTTTGTAGTCCTTGCGTAGTAGCTTATGCCCACGCGGGCGTAGTGGCTGGGAAGACGTGACGATGGCACGCTTCTTGCATGCTCGGCTAGGCGGAAGCCATGATTGAGAGAGCCGAGATGTAAGGAGCTTGTTCATTGGTTGTGTCCGTTTTCCTGGTCACATGGTCCGCGTGTTGGCTTTATAAGCCTAACCTGGGTAGGGAATCGTCAGTCGTCACTCACCAGTACCTGGTAGGCACGGTCGACTCCCGCGTCCTGAATCAGGATCATTCATTATTATTTTAGGGCTTTCATTGAGGTGTTAGATTAAGATGTATGGGTGGGGGAAAAGTAGAGTAGTGATTGAATAGGTTTGTTTATAGACGTTTTACTTTTGGGAGTTAAGTTAGACGGGTGGTTAATAGTACAAGTTTAGTTATACGGTTGAATAGGTTTAAGTAGGTAGGGAAGGGGGAAAATTACGTAGGGAATAGAAAAGGTTAGGATTTTGCCCCTGTTGTTTGTTTTGTTAAATAAACTTTAAACCTAACTCCATTCTTTGTGTTTTCTTTCTGATTAGAATTGATAACCCGGTCAGGAGCCTCCTAGAACGTAGAGACATAAGAATACTGCCCAGGGAGAAGAGAACACAACGCAAAATACCGCAGTATAACATCTGACCTTTTGTCAAAAATATCTATAAGTCTACTGTCACTGGGTGCCTTTTTACAGACTTTAGAGGGCGCCTATTACAGATGCTATGTCGAGGTTGCCTCTCCTCCTGCTGATTAGGAGACAGACAGCAGTGGTCGTCTCATTTTTTTAAAGGCTTTACATGTCCACAGAACCATCATATAATAGACAATGTCATGACAATGGTTATTGGCAGATGGCTACACAAAATTCAACCCAAGATCCACCAAAAGCCATACTCATACTCAAATGAAAGGAAAGTTGAAAAGCCATCTCAAACCTCAGACTCGGTCACAAAAAGCACATTGACAAGGTTTGTCCATCTTGCAATCAACCTGAATCCATTGCTCACTTGTTCCTGGAATGTCAAGACCATGCCCCAGCCCGGGATCGGTTAAAACAAGAATTGCAGTTAGATCTGCTATCTGTCATAGATCTCCAAGCCAAGAGATGCAATGTCGAAGACCAAACTAACTCCGAGCGTATATAAACAAAGCAGCCAAAGATACAAATGAAATTATATCAGTATACAACAAGTATTTGTCACAAAGTGACGAAATGTCCCCCGCTGCCTTATGCGATATGTGGTTTTTTTCCAAATATTTTATTCCTTTTGAATAATACTATTTTCTGTGTTGGATACCTCCATGGAACTATTTGTCGTACTCCAAAAGCCAATATCATCAAACATGAAGGAATCCAGAAATTAGTTCTTGAGATATCGCAGCAACACTGTTTTCCATCTCGAATAACAGATTTCCCTGCTGTTATTAAGTTAAGGTCACCAAAATCGACTGGTGTCTGCGAAGTCTGTATATACACCATAGTACCAAATATGAAGACAATCCAGCGATTAGTTCTTGATATATCGCGGCAACATTGTTTTCCGACTCCAAAAGCAGATTTGCCTTCTGTGACCTTGAAAATTGGGTCAAGGTCACCAAAACCGACTGGTATCTGTGGAGTCTGTATATACACCATAGTTCCAAATATAAACAATCCAGTGTTTAGTTCTTGAGATATCGCGGCAACACTGTTTTCCAACTCCAAAAGCAGATTTGCCTGTTGTGACCTTGAAAATGGGGTCAAGGTCACCAAAACCGACTGTTGTCTGCGGAGTCTGTATATACACCATAGTTCCAAATATGAACAATCCAGTGTTTAGTTCTTGAGATATCGTGGCAACACCGTTTTCCAACTCCAAAAGCAGATTTGCCTGTTGTGACCTTGAAAATGGGGTCAAGGTCACCATAACTGACTGGTGTTTGCGGAGTCTGTATATACACCATAGTTCCAAATATGAAGACAATCCAGTGTTTAGTTCTTGAGATATCGCGGCAACACCGTTTTCCAACTCCAAAAGCATATTTGCCTGCTGTGACCTTGAAAATGGGGTCAAGGTCACCAAAACCGACTGGTGTCTGCGGAGTCTGTATATACACCATAGTTCCAAATATGAAGACAATCCAGTGTTTAGTTCTTGAGATATCGCGGCAACAAACAGGTGGGACGTACGGACGGTCGTGAATACTATGAAAATAGAGATCATATCAATACAAAAACAGAAATTCTATGAATACCAAAGCTCGCAATAGATATGTGTACCCTACTCACACACAATGATAGGAATGGTACATACTTTGATGTTAACTATAGATCAAGATTCTGTCAGGTTATACACTCTCATCTCAGGCTTGGCTGCAGCGACCATAATGCCCACAAATTTGCCAGATTTATATCCCACAGCCCAAGATGTTGTTGTGACTATCATACAGAAGATGCACTTCATTTCTTTCTTATGTGTCCCTTAAACAGTACCTTAAGGCAAAATATGTATTATTTCGTAAAAGGCTTCGTATAAATTCAATTTTAAATGGTAATTCACATTTAATGACTGTAACAAATATTGAAACTTTGAAATCAGTGCACAGTTTTATTCTATCTTCTTGCTGATTTTGTCTCAGATGATGGCTTTGCTATATGATACTGCGAAGTTGTTGTGCTGGATGTAAATAATAACGTAGATGTAGTTAAGAAAAATAATCCAGCAATAAAACATTAACAGAACAATAATTATCTTTAATGTCAAATAATTTTTTAATTTGACTTTTACACTATATACGGCTTTTCCATTGGACGAGAGTGAGGGAGTCATGATCAGTTGGGTTGAACGCGGCTTTTATCAGCATTCCAGTTATATTGCGGCGTGTCAGCTTAACGTGGGAGGAAAGCCCGAAGTGATGCAGGTGTCAGATGTTTACCACTTCGGTGAAACCCACGCGCACGGGTATGGTGCTGACAAACCTAGAAACATAATCAGGGTGAACCAGGATTTGAACCATCAATCATAGGTTTCTGGCACAGCGAATCGCGGCACCTTAGATGACTGGGCCACCTGTGCCCCTTCATTGGACAAGAGGTCGGTCACATGACTGCGACAGCTGACAGTGACAGTCTACAGCAATCTATGAATTTACCTTAGTGTCTGTTTGACACATCTTTAATCACCTTTCAATGATCGGCCAGTTGATCAAAGATGACGAACACATGTAGACGCCACAGCTTCATTAACAACATCGGAAATCTCTCCCATCACGTTTATTGTGTCGGCCATTTTGACGTCTTGTACTTGATGTAAATGTATTACGACACGCTGTCATTGTGACTGACTTACTGAAGTAGTTCTTAACAGACCTTTCTCATCTAATGAGGATATTATTTGAGTACCTTCATAGAGTAAGGACCAAACACTCTATGAAGGTTCATACTCCAATGAACTCAAGCAAAGTGAAAGTCAGTTCTGAATTAATGTATGCTATTTCTCATGTCACTTTCAAAACATTGTAATTTGTATGTGTATCATATTTGGGAGAGGCATTCAGATAAACAAAATTTGCTTGTGTAGCAGAATGTAAAATAGTTGTATTTTAACTTACATATTTTAAACTTAGGTAAATAATTGAGTTAAGTATGGTAATAGGTCCTTAAGCTAACCTGAGCACTCTCTACTAATCCTTAGGTAAAGTACGGGCTATAGTTATGTAAGGTCTTTAGTGATCTGGTCCAGCCACAGCTTGGCCAGTGATTGCCTTTTCTATTGTTTCTGTAGCATGTGACCAGGTTTTTAGCTTTAAACACTTCAATATTTCTCTTCTCTGGTCACTGCTGCGTTACAACTCTGCATGATTCACTGCACTGCACTGATTGGGGTAAGTTAATTTAGACTTCTTTAGTATTTATATTCATCATAAGGAGGTTAGGATCTGATATTTTAGTCTTGTTGAGTACACTTTTATCATTTTAATTGCATATTTCTTATATAGTATAACTTGCAGTATGATCCACATGATACGCAATGTTGTAAATATATTACTTATTCTTCAAAGTCATGATACGTTAGTGAGTAGTGTGATACTAATTACACTAGCCATGACTTAATGTTAAGCAACCATATTGTTATAAGGTGCTTTCAGTAATTTATATAGTTTATAGCTTGAAGCTGTACCTATTAGAATAGATTTATCATTAGCAATAATTTATAGCTTACAGCTATAAATGTAATAATATATTGTACAGTATTTTAGTACACTAAGTCTTGTATGAGTTAGTTGATGATTATGTACATAGTTCTTTGAAAGTGTTAGTAAATATGAACTGATGTAGTGCATATAAATATTAGGTTTATATTACTGTGTGTGTGTGTGAATGTGTGAGAGAGAGAAAGCATGTCTGTGTGCGTATTATATACATTTTACTTAATTGTGTCATTTCATTATTAGGCATAGAGGCACATATAAAGCCATACTGTTGGCACTGACGTGATGAGCCTGCGTCCCTGAGACGAGGTTGGTATTTATGTGCTAATAGTTGTATGTATATATTGTTGTATTTCGAGGTGTATTATATCATATAAATGGGATTTGTAGCTGTAATATATATAGAGCTGATGGTTGTTCTGATTATATATGCTTAAATTCATGCTCATGGTAACAAGTAAATGTAATATGTTTGTTTAATTATACATGTTATAGATTCTTGTAATTGTATATTACTAATTCAACCTTATTATATTATGTTTTAGGGAATTATCATCCATAGCCATATTGTGGTGGGATCTCCATATCCCTGATATGAACAGACCGAATAAATCCCATGAACCCCCAAACAAGTATTCGTCGTCATTACCTAGACGTTATACCGCTGTAACACTTGTTTGCCAATCCTTCCACTTTAGGGAAATAAATATGTTTATATCACACATGAGTTCCAAAGAGGTCAGGCGAAATTGCTAAGGCAGAAGGCGACCTCTTAAACACTTAAAACAACAACAACAACAATAGTTATGCCAAAGGTTCTTGGTTGTGATAACATCATTAGAAGTGTTGGTGGTGACTGCACATGCGGGCACAACGTCTTCTTTTCACTTGATACATAAAACCTTGATATACAGGACTACGGCCACTGGGAATGAATTACACAATCACAATGAAGTTCCCAGTACATGTATTTATAAAACATCTCATTGATTACTTGTTAACTGGTCAATGCAAGTGCCTTAATTATCAAAATTTAAGTAAACTGAGTTAGCTTTCATAGGTTTTGATGGATACTCGTAAAATCCTCAGTTGAGTTCACTCACTAACTACTCTGAGTGTTTTGGGTATGACTCCTGTGCTTGTTTTAACGCGTTAACTGTTAAGCCCGAGTGTGGAGGCAAAGTGAAGATAAACATCTGTGAATAAAACTTTCTGTTTGTCTGTGTCAAAGACAATCCAACTTTGTTAGAGTAAGTGTTTATCTGTGACAACTTACAGCTGGTGACATTTTGGTGAAATTGACAAGTGATAATGAATTTAAATATTCATATAATTATGGTTATAATCAAATTGTAAATATAACTGTAATATTTATTATTTATATATTCTGTATGGGGAAATGTCAGTGTGGGGTATTTTCCAGTGTGGAATTGTCCTACTCTCTTGGGAAAATATATATCGTCTGTTAGTGAGTTTAGATGTTGACATCACACCAGCAAATTTTCAGCTATATTGCGACAAAATTATGACCAGCTTGTTGGACTACATGTAAAATTCACTTTTTGTCCTCTCTTGTTGTTTTTGATAATAAGACTACTGGGTAGTTTCATCAGCTATATGTTTCAGTTTATCAGAGAACAACTGCACAGGGTCAGGAACATTCATGAAAAAGGTCTTGTTTTAATTTGTCAGTACAGTTAATCTGAAATATTGACCAATTGGCCTTGGAAAAATTCCATCTTGTTAAAGGTGGAACATCGGTGGGGATTATAGTTGTGATTACTTTTGGAAAATGGTCAGTTCCCCAAAGGTCATCATGGACTGACCATTTAACTTCAATAACCGTATATATGGTTGCATCTGTGATGTATTGGAGAAAACACGATTACGAGGTTTTGGTAGACAGAGCATGCCCTGGGGAGAGGGAAAAACCAAGGGGGCGAAGCCCCCGCGGTCTTTCCCGACCCCCAGGGCATGCTCTGTTTACTAAAACTGAGGGAAAGTGTTTTTCCATACTTATAAACCGTCTAAATTGATTAAATGTTATAACGAGCATAGATCTATAAATGAGGCGCTTCATTATAGCGCTTCCTTGAAGACGTGATATCATAACTTGCACATGAAATTCGCTGACTTGCCAGGCGTTCAAGAGCACTTGGATGTGTCAACAACAAAACACAACTAAAATACTTACTTTTAAATGAAAGTGAAATCTTCGGTTTCTAAATGTTTGTGTTGCAATATTCCACTTCTTTTAAACTTTTCAAAACGAAAATTCGAAAATTTTAAAGGTGTTTTTTGCTTTACAAGATTTTCGACTTTAAACAATCCAACTGTTACATAGAAGGAGTTGTGACGTAACGGCTAGCAGTTACTGCACGTGCAAATTGTGCAGCATTGATAAGCACTTGTTTAAAAGCACGTGTTTTGAAACCTCGCTGTCCTTTCACCAGAGACTCTGAAGTGGAAAGATGAGTGACGATGACTTTCATTTTGTTACCCAGTCTTCATTCACTGAAGAAAGCGATGACTTTTCTTATCGATTTGGAAAGCCATTAACCGAAGAAGAACTTGATAAATGTTTGGAAATATGTGTATCGAAATTTTGAATTTTCTTCTTGTTGTCATTTTTTCAATTACTTGGTTAAACCAGGGATTTGAGGTTTTACATTCAAAGTAAAACCTCCCGAATGAAAATAAAACCTCATAATAGGTTTTACTTTGAAAGTAAAACCTCACAATAGGTTTTAATGCCTATAGAAAGAACTCTCTTACTTAATAGCGATCCCAATGAATAGGTTTATAAGTATAGGATATAAAACGCCTCCAGGGGCTATCCGTGAAAATAATGCAGTCCGGCAAAGGAAAAGCCCACGGGCCATAGGCCCAAGGGCTTTTCCTGCGCTGGAGTGCATTATTTTCACGGATAGCCATAGGAGAAGGTTTATATCTGACTTATAAACCGACAGATATGAAGATGCTTTATTGTTTACATGACATAACTTTAATTCTGAAATTTAAATTGTAGCACTCGAAAGTATTCAGTCAAAAGCGCACAGCTCGAACGCAACTGTTTCGCGTGATCGCGCATGTGGAGCGCATGCAGTGCGTGCTAGATGCTATGACTTGAAATCACGTGTGTTCAGCTGCAGTCAGTTTTGACGCAACTTGCACAATGGAGGGGAGCCGAGCAGATGATTTGCGAAACAACTGGTACGTTTTGATATTTTTATATAACGCATCAGGTATAAAATTCTAACTTTTGCAGTTCTTGCAAAAACGTGACCACTATAGGCTGTAGTCGCAGTACTTGAGCTTGGGTTAGATTGCCTTTCTTATTTACCTCAGAGAAACCATCAGGGTTTTTTTTTAAATAAAAAAATATTGTTTCAGGGCACCGAAGTGAAGCCGTGTGGTCGTACAAGCGTACATCTGATCAACAGAAGTCGGCAGTGTCTGCAATCATCTGTGGTGCCGATCGGAAACGGAGATGCGAGACCATTTCTGACAAGTCGGAATAACCGACGCCTACACAGTCGCCAGTAAAGTCTACACAGTCGCCAGTAACTCCAGATGAGCCAACCACAAGTGGACGTCCTGTTGTTTTCAATGTCCACATCGTGTAGACTTCTGTAAACATTTCATGAAAAAAACGTTGATGAAATAGCTTTATTTTTTTTCAAAAGGCCAGAGGGATCTTCTGTAGAAAATCCCGTGGGCAGAGGGATCTTCTGTAGAAAATCCCGTGGGCAGAGGGATCTTCTGTAGAAAATCCCGTGGGCAGAGGGATTTTCGGAGAAAAGAACAACCTGTTGTAACAATGGTAATGCATCACTGGAGGTTTATAATGACAGATCTAACGCAGAATACGTAGGGTTATGTCTATTTAGATCACACATAATGATACAGAGCTGAGAAAGCTGGTCAAACAAATCCTGAAAATCGGACTGATGAAGATTTGAGGATGGAGAAATATACAAGGAACAAAGTGTGAAGGTTATTTTTGAAGTAAGATGGACAGCAACAGCCTGAAGATTGCAGTTAAGAGGAACAGGGCTGTGGATGATGCCCTGCTTCACCAAAATGGAAGTACCGCCAGTGGCTCTATCACCTGGCGGTGAAAAAGATTGATAAGAATTGCACTGACGCATTTCAAATTTATCATATTGTTTAAGATAGGTAAACTAAATGTGGATGGTTTATAATCTTGTGCCAATAATTGTACTTCATTTAAATTATTCCAAATTCCTCTGCAATTCCACTGAATTGAATTAGGATATTGACTCATGGAAGTTCTATAGGGGACCTGTCACGTGTACGTTAGGTGAATAGACTCCTATGTCTGTGTTCTGAAGATGGAATCACCTCCATCTCCAGTGGGTCAAAGGAGTAAATTTCCAGTTTCAGGTACCTCAAAGTAGAGGGCCTCTTTGATGATTGTTTATGATTTAGGTGTTTACTTTGTTTTTTGCACATTTCAACATGTATATCAACATCTGGTTGAACAACCTCAGGTTGTGACTGATTCACAGCCTGAGATGAAGATGTTGCCAAAGTGAGTAAGTGAGTGAGTGTCAGAATCAGGTTGCATAGTAACTATTTGTACTGTTTTTGTAGATTTAGTCCAAGTCAAATCTGTTTGGCATGAAATAGAAACTGTTTGGTTTGTTGGAGACAGCAGCTGAGTAGGTGATAGTAGGAGACAGCTTGGCGGCAGTCTGGCTGTGAAATTTGTTTTTTAGCTTCATGGAAGGAAATATTTGATTCATATTTTAGTTTGAGGATTTTTGTGTGTATCTGCCATTCATAGCAAGATTTTGACCATGACAAATGGTCACCACTACAACTTGCACATTAAGGCTCTTTACTGCAATCCCAGTCCTGATAGTGATGACAACGATGATAATAATGGCAGGCTTTGGAACTGTGTCCAAACTTTTGACATGTTTAAAATCGGAGTTTAGAGGGGATATACACCTCCACTCCGATATTGAAATAACCAGCCTTAATGGACTGAGGAACTGACGTACAGGCAAAAGTTTTGACTTGGTCCTCTAGCTCAGCTTAAATCTCTTGTTCAGACATGCAGGACAGGCACTGAACTCTGTCTCGAACAATGCCCTGACATGAGTTTAATGTCCTGTGAGCAGACATAACAACTACATCATTGGCAAAGTTAGTCTCAGATGACGGTTGCCCTGGTCTCACTCCACAAGAAGGGAGCCAGTCCGAAGACGAGTAACGATTTTGATTACCCCACAAATTCGAGATACAGCTTTGGAAACAGCAAATGGATTTTGTTTGATAAGTTCATGATAGGATGACTCAATCAATAGGAACCCAGACCAGGAATCTCTATTTTGTGATTTTGTAGGTACAGTTTCATTTGAACTGTCACGTTCAAGACGTTTCTTTTTTCCGTTTCAATCAGAGTGTTGTAGTGACATGGTGAAAGATATTAATTCGACATCTCAGTTCCCCACCCACTATAGAGTGTTAATAAGGACAGTGTTACATTGCACTTGACATCCAAGATGCAAACACCAAGGATACAGGGGTGTTAAACTCAAGCAACTATGACACAAAATCGAAAATTTTTTAAACTTATCCTATCTCACTCTATGCATTCCTCCTTCTTTCGATCCCTTGCATGAA